AGTTTATTGGAACCATTCAGACATGGTAGAATTTCACATTGGTTCGGTCTCCTGTACAAAGAGAGCTGTGATGGTTGCAAAGGATAATGGAAGTCATTAGAGCTGTCTCTCTACCTACAAAAAAGAGAAAATAGATTTCTGGAAGGTCTCAGCAATGATATGGCCTAGTGACTGCCGTCCTTTTTCTTTTGCACTCTAAAATAGGCATGCTCATTGCATTTTTTCTGTCTGTTTCCATCTTGTGTGTCTGATGTACAGAGCCGATAAGGGTTCCTTCCGTGCATATGTTGAAGAAAAGTGAAGCAGATAATTTGTAGTCACCTCATGGACACCACATCCTAATAGATGATACACTGGAATTCACTCTGCGTTTGTTCCTGTAATTGTGTTGCTTTCAAGAGTTCTTTACAGGGTTTGTGTGTTTACTGTGTCAGAGGCAATGAAGCCAATGGGGACTGAGTGGGACTAATTGCCAAAACAAGCCACTCGGGTCAAAGTGTCTGACATAAGTAGGAGCTACTGAAGGATGTTGTTCCTAATGTATTCTCAGACATCCTAGGGACCTTGTAACTCACACCTTGTGTCACAGGAAGATTTGCCTGTTTTGACTTATGGATTTTTTTAGAATGCCCTGGCCCCTCTTGGAGAAGACCACTTCCTCTTTTCCCCCTGAAAGTAAGAATCAAATCCTGGGAAATCTGGTGAAGTTTTAATGACCAAGTGTCAGGGTTCGAGTGAGAAGGGATTATGCTATTAGCTGGCTCTGGGAATCCCATGGTCAAATAGAAAGTGGGATACCTCGACAATGGGGAGTGTGCTTATTTTGTCAGTCACAGACACACATTGAGGTCAGGTAGACACCACTGCACACTTGCAGCATTTTACTAAAACATGACAGGTGTTGATGGGCAAAGATTTAACAGTGCTGGCCACTTAGCACACACACACACACACACACGACACACACACACACATGGACACACACACCACACACACACAATGCATCAGGAAGACAGTATTCCACTGAACTTTCAGCCTACTCTGTACTCTGTCCTAGTACCTATAATAATTGTAGAAGAAAACTACTATTATACATCAGTACCCAGTCAATTATGAAATCATTTATATCTGTACCATCGATTTCTTGAGGACTGCACCATTGACTTCTTGAGAAACTGGCTTTCTCAAGAAGCCCATGTGTGTGCAAAGGAACCGTAATCAGATTCTCTGTTGTCTTAAAATTTCACCCAGGGTCACAGCCAAGGGAAAGTAATGAAGAGCCCTTGTCAGCTCCTTTGGGCTCCAAATCTGTCTGTGCTTATTTGTTCAGTTTCAGGTGACATCAGAAAGGTAGTTTCAGCCAGGTCCACTGGCTCACACCTGTAATCCCAACTGTTTCAGAGGCCAAGATGGAGGATCACCTGAGGTCAGGAGTTTGAGACCAGCCTGTCCATCATGGCAAATTTTCATCTATATTAAAAATACAAAATTAGCCAGGCATGGTGGCACATGCCTGTAATGTCAGCTGCTCAGGAGGCTGAGGCAGGAGAACCACTGGAACCCAAAAGGCGAAGGTTGCAGCAAGCTGAGGTTGCACCACTGCACCTTAGCTGGGGAAACAGGAGCAAAACTCCATCAGAAAGAGAAGACAAGAAGGAAGAGAAGAGCAGAGAAGGAAGGAAAGAAGGATGGAGGAAAAAAGGAAAGAAAAGAGAAAGAAAAGAAAGAAAAGAAAGGCAGTTTCAGATTGCATCAGAGAGGCTTCTGTTTACAGACTACCTTTCTCGCTATTTCAAACAGTAGCTCACTGTATTTTGAATGTTTTCTCTCATTTTTCCAGTGGGATTCTACTACTTTGTGTTACACGACCTCTTCTGTTTGCTTAGCCTCCACTCTAGCCTTGAAGTTCTCCATGGCCAGGGAGAGCCATGTGAGGCTCTCCCTGGCCATGGCTCTATGTCCTGTGAGGTAGAGTCCCTGTGTCTTGCACAGGGTTAACAGAGGGTTAGTGCTTGATAATGTTCATGTGATGCCTATATTTCAGTTCCGTGAACTATGAGTGCCATTCACTGCCAATGGCCTAGTTTTTCTTTACAGTCTCTGAGATCTGAGTTGGTGGTGGCCAAGAATGAAATTCATTGTTCCTAGAGAGTTAAAACAGAACTAGGGTTGTAAAACATATGATATTATTTTTATAGCTGATTAGCATATAAAAAGATTCTGAAATGGGAATAAATGTAAATCTTTGGGCATCAACATTAGGGAAGGCCAGAAAGTTTGAACATATTCTTTACTACTGAGGTCTATAGAGAAAGTTCTCTTATAGGTGTACTATATTCGATTTTAAATGCACACATTTTTGACCCAGTTATTCCATTTCTTTGTAATTATCTTCCAGTGTAAGTATCAGAAGGTTGATAATGACAAAGCGTTGATTAGAGAGCTTAATATGGCATTATTTGTGAAAGCAAAACGTTGGAAACAACCTAAATGCCCACCAAAAGGGTCAATTCTATCACTTTGGGTACTCCTATTGAGATACTATGCAGTCTTTAGAAACCGAGGCAGCACCATGGATAGGTGATGTCCTGAAGATACATTTTTTAAGAACAAATGAACTTCTAATGTGTGATGTGTAGAGCAGTTTATACCACTATTTGTTTAAAAAGCAAATGAAATCGTAGAGACTCTATGCTTCTATAGGCATAGGTTTCCTCTGGAAGGAGAGCAGAGCACTGGTAATGTCCTCAGAAGTCAACCCCGAGTCCATGAGTGAGACAACGGCTTATATTTTGAATGACTGCAACAATTTTATCCTTACACATATTGTATTCATTCAGCTAAATGAAAATAAGTTAACTGCCTAAGTAGAAATGAGCACTGTAAGAAAAGACAGTGGAGATTCCATTCCTTGGGGGAAATGGCAGGTAAGCTGACCTTGACCTTGGTCAGATTTAGGAAACGAGCTGAAAATGGCAGTGCAAGCAGAAGGTGCTCTGTGGTGAAAAGCCTGGGGCAAGGGTAGTAATGGGAGGAGCCCAAGAAACTCATGTGGCCATCTGAGGGAGAGCTGCCTCCTGCTCTGGAAGTCCGCAAAGGCCACGTGCTGGGAGCTCCTGGGTGCTCACCTGGTACTCCTTGTCCAGCACTGAGAGGCCCAGGTCCAATTGTTTTCCATCTTTGAAGGGCACATTGTGGCATGTCACCTCACACGTCCAGGCCTCACATTCATGAATGTTCATGACCACACAATGGCCAAGATACACTCAGAAGTGGAAGGTGATGTGTGAGTCCTCATTCACCCCGCTGTGGAAATACACCTGCAGCTGTGGGTCATTGCTGAGGGTAAAGCACACAGCAAATGGTGCCGAACCCTCCCTTGTGGGGCACAGACAGGACACACATAGAAATTCCTTCCCCCTTTTCCACCCAGCAGACAGAAGCCTTTCTGGTGCTCTTACAACCCTCATCCCTGTGGGGTTGCTTCAGCTCCTGTTGCCCTTCAGAAGTGAAATGCTCTACCCTGTGTTCCCAGATGGAAACTGAGCCACAGTAACTTCCCTGAGGTTATAAGTTATTTATTTCTTGAAAAATTTATGCTGCTTGATAAGAAACCACAGTCGAAACCCACTGAGTGCCCTTTTTTTTCTAGGCTGTGTGATGGGCCCACAGTGCAGGAACTGCAAGTTTCATGCCTGGTGCTGGAGAATCTCCAGGACCTTCACCTGAATTACGCCTCCATTTTGCCAACTAGACATTTCCACATCACTCACATGAGACTACCTCCTACGTCAATATTCTTTCTCTTCCTCCATCACGCACCATCCTTGGACCATGGAGTACTCACACAAAAGGGAGGATCAGTGTCTCTCTGATTGTCACTCAAGAACCTACGGACAAGTTCACAGGCCATGTATGTGGTGCCTGCCACAGAGATTAAGAGTGGATGAGACAGGCAGGGCTGGGTACGGCCTACCATTCTGTAAGAGATTCTCATAATGCAAAAGGTTGGAGTCTAAGGGCAAACTCAGGCTTCTTCATTCCCACCCTACCACAGTCAGGCCCATTATTGCTGAGGAAATAGGGGTGGAGGCATAGTTATGAGCAAGGCATCAGGAGCCAGGCTGCCTGGATTTCTGTCCTGATTTCTCCTATTACTAGCAGTGCCATCTTAGATCTGATACTTAAATGTTCTCTACCTCAATTTCCCCATCCAAAGAGGATTACTAGAATTTTTTTTTGTAGAGTTTCACATGGATAGAACAGTTAATATGTATAAAACTTTTACCCTAATCCCTCACATGTATAGGACCTGTGAGATGTTACTGAAAGAAGAGGGTGGGTTCTTCTGGAACACTGCCCTGTCTTCATTTTCAACTCTGAAACTGTGAAAACAAGATATGAGGATGTAACAGTGATGTAATTCACTCCAGTGAGAAATAATCCTTGTTGAAAGAGAACGAAATAACAAGAGAACAGTAAACCCGTGTGTGTGGATGCACATGCATCACAATCATCAAGGGCCATGGAATTTTTTCTCAGAACGGGCACAAATTGTTAAGAGCACAGCTTTAGTACTTGTACAAATAAAGTGCGGGCCATAGAAATAACTGGGGGAATCTACAAGTGGCTGATACTTGTTCTCTTTTGAGATAGAGTCACATTCTATTGTCCAGACTTACAGGCAGTCATGCAATCCTAGCTCGCATTAACCTTGACACCACCACCCCTGTTTGCAGGCCTGTCTGTGATGTAGCAAAAGTCATTGTGGTGGAGGTACCAGGGGGAGGAAGGAGTAACAGGGAAATGCACAGATAAGAATGATGGAGTGAAGGGTTGTGCAGTCCAGCCTTTATGCCTCTCGTGAAGATTTTTCTCTGCTGTGTAGAATCTACCTGGAAGGTGTACATTGTTTTAATTGGTGCAATCATTTAGAAAAGGAAGGTGGGAATTATGGAGAAAGGTGTTGGCCCTAAAAGTAATGCTTCTGTTTGTTCCAGACTTTCTGGGAGATCACTGGCCGTGATCGTCAGCGGGACCTGTGGAGAAGAGTTGAGATAGTCCTTGGTTATTTATTCCATCTCAGAAGGCCCCTTGTCTCTGCCAGGTGAGGACTACTGCCTTCCTTCTCTCACACACTTAGGCTTTAGCTGCAGCTTATTCTTCCTTTCTGGGGGTTCATGTGAGTCAGTATTTCAGAGACATTCTTTCTCCCACACCATTTATTAAATAGGGTCTTTTCCCCATTACTTGTTTTTGTCAGGTTTGTCTAAGATCAGATAATTGTAGATGTGTGGCATTATTTCTGAGGCATCTATTCTGTTCCACTTATCTATATCTCTATTTTGCTACCAGTACCATGCTGTTTTGATTACTGTAGCCTTGTATTATAGTTTGAAGTCAGGTCCCATGATGCCTTCAGCGTTTTTTTTTTTTTTTTTTTTTTCAGCTTCCCCCCACCCCTTAGGATTATCTTGGCTATGCAGGCTGCTATTCCTTCCACGTGAATTTAAGGTGTTTTTTTCCAATTTTGTGAAGAAAGTCAACTGTAGCTTTTTGGAGATAGCATTGAATCTATTAATTACCATTTTAAAAAATGTTTGCTCTTCTGTTTTACAATCAGTGAATGTAAACCATTTATATGTATATTATGATAAGTAATTCTTAATCTCATACTTTATTAAGCACTAAAATTCTATGCACAGCCTGTTACTGACACACTTTGGGACCACCTGTTTTTAACCCACCATGGGATCTTCTTGCTGCCACAGACTAACATGCTCCTGCCTTTCTGCTTTGCATTCCTTTTACTTCCACTATATTGTGAAATTTTGCTTCAAAATGCCTGCTCTCTTAGGTCTTTGTTCAGATCATGCATGTTTTGTTCACATTTTTGTTATTAGGGTTCATTCGTATTGCTATGTGGAGCTTGAATTCCTTCATTTTCACTGCTCTACACTCTGCAATTCTATGAATATGCCAACACATAAATACCAATTTCACTCTAGATTGTACATTGAGGGGTTCAGTTCAACACATTTGCAAATATGGTTTTCTACCCAAATTATTATAGTCTCCTCATGCAGGTTATTTCTTCTATAGAAAACCTTTTCAGACAGACTCTAGACTCCCTGAATGTAAATCAAATCTTACTCTTTTTGCTCACCAAGTAAACATAATTATCCAGAACCTGCACAGCCTTCCTGAAAAGACAGGAATCAAGATTCTCTGAGGATTACAATCTTTAGAGCATCTTGGATGCATGGGGCTTGACCAGAGGCCACCCAAAAGGCTCCAGGGAAAAAGCCACGCTTAGGAGAGGGATGGATGTAAGAAAAGGTTTTCTGAAATCAAGGCCCAGACTCCTACAGGACAGGGGGTAGTAGTTGGCACTGCAGGACTGAAATAGAGGTGTCTTACCCCATGTCCGTGGGTGTGTCTGTGAGTGGGAAATAGAGGCTGAAGGACACTGTAGGCCGGGGTCGATGACTCAAGCCTGTAATCCCAGCCCTTTGGGAGGCCGAGTCGGGTGAATCACGAGGTCAAGAGATCAAGACCATCCTGGTCAACATGGTGAACCCCCGTATCTACTAAAATACAAAAAATTAGCCGAACATGATGGCGCGTGCCTGTAATCCCAGCTACTTAGGAGGCTTAGGCTGGAGAATTGCCTGAACACAGGAGGTGGTGGTAGCGGTAAGCCGAGATCACGCCACTGCACTCCAGCCTGGGTAAAAAGCAAAACTTTGTCTGAAAAAAAAAAAATTGGACACTGTGTACTCTGATTAAAGGGTTCATCTTGCATCCATGTCTTTGGCTCACTGCAACCTCCTCCTCCCAGGTTCAAGCGATGCTTCTGCCTCAGCCTCCAAATTTACTGAAACTACAGGTGCATGCCAGCACGGCTGCTAATGTTTTGTATTTTTAATAGATATGGGGTTTCACCATGTTAGCCAGGATGGTCTTTACCTCCTGACCTCATGATCCACCCACCTCTGCCTCCCAAAGTGCTGGGATTACAGGTGTGAGCCACCATATCTGGCCCATCTCTTACCAAGATTTACACTCTACAAAGTAGTCCCTGCCATCCTCATTCATTGAGCCTGGAGATCCTCCTTTGTGAAATGGCTTTTCTCTTTCTCAGCCTGAGGGTGGGGCTGGAATCAGGGCATAATCATGCATGAGCACTATTTAAATAAATTAACAAGGATATCCAGGGCTTGAACTCAGACCTGGAACAAAACAACCTGATAGACATTTACAGAACTCTCCACCCCAAATCCACAGAATATACATTCTTCTCAGCACCACATCACAGCTACTCTAAAATTGACCACATAATTGGAAGTAACACTCCTCAGCAAATGCAAAACAACTGAAATCATAACAAACAGCCTCTCAGACCGTAGTGCAATGAAGTTAGAACTCAGAATTCAGAAACTAACTCAGAACCGACAGCTTCATGGAAAATGAACAACTGGCTTTTGAATGTTGATTGGATAAACAATGAATGAAGGCAGAAATAAAGAAGTTATTCGAAAACAACGAGAACGAAAACACAACATACCAGAATCTCTGGGACACATTTAAAGCAGTCTCCAGAGGAAAATATATAGCAATATGTCCCCATATGAGAAGAGTGGAGAGATCCAAAATTGACACCCTATCGTCAAAATTGAAAGAGCTAGAGGAGCAATATCGAAAAAACTCAAAACCTAGCAGAAGACAAGAATAACTAAGATCAGAGTAGAACTGAAGGAGATAGAGACTTGAAAACCCTTCAAAAATTAATAAATCTAAGAGCTTGTTTTTTGAAAAGATCAACAAAATAGACAGACCACTAGCCAGACTGATAAAAAAGAGAGAACAACCAAATAGATGCAATAAAAAGATAAAGAAGAAATCACCAGAGATTCCACAGAAATTCAAACCATCATCAAAGAATATTACAAACAACTCTATGCACATAAACTAGTAAACCTGGAAGAAATTGATAAATTCCTTGACACCTGTGTCCTCCCAAGCCTAAACCAGGAGGAAGCTGAAACGATGAATAGACCATTAACAAAGTCTGATGTCGAGGCAGCAATAAAGAGCCTACCACTCAAAAAAGCCCAGTTCCAGATGGGTTTACAGCCAAATTCTAACAGACACACAAAGAGGAGCTGGTACCATTCCTTCTGAAACTATTCCAAATAATCCAAAAAAAGGAAATCCTTCCCAAATCGTTTTATAAGACCAACATCATCCTGATACCAAAACCTGGCAGACACTCCAAGAAGAGAAAACTTCAGGCCAGTAACCATGATGAACATAGATGCATAAATCTTCAATAAAAATACTGGAAAGCCAATTACAACAGCACATCAAAAAGCTTATCCAGCATGATAAAGTAGGATTCATCCCAGGGATGCAAGGCTCGTTCAACATACGTAAGTCTATAAACCTAATTCACCACATAAAAGAAACAAAAACAAACCACATGATTATCTCAATTGACACAAAGAAGGCCTTAGACAAAATTCAACAGCTCGTTATGCTAAAATCCCTCAATACTCAGTATTGATGGAACGTATCTCAAAGTAACAAAAGCTATTTATGACAAACCAACAGCCAATATCATAGTGAATGGCAAAAACTGAAGCATTCCCTTTCAAATCTGGCACTAGACAAGGATGCCCTCTCTCACCACTCTCATCCAATAGAGTACTGGAATTTCTAGCCAGAGCAATCAGGAAAGAAGAGAAATAAAGTATATTCAAATAGGAAAGGAGGAAGCCAAATTGTCTCTATTGGTAGATGACATGATAGTATACCTAGAAGACCCCATTGCCTCAGCCCAAAACTCCTGAAACTGATAAGCAACTTCAGTATAGTCTCAGGATATAAAATCAATGTGCAAAATCACAAGCATTCCTATACACGAACAGCAGCCTTAAAAAAAGCCACATCAAGAATAAACTGCCATTCGTGATTGCTACAAAAAGAATAAGATACCTAGGAATACAACTCACAAGGAACGTAAGGGACCTCTTCAAGGAAAACTACAAACCACTGCTCAACGAAATAAGAGAGGACACAAACAGATGGAGAAATATTCCATGTTCATGGTTAGGAAGAATCAATATTGTGAAAATGGCTATACTGCCCAAAGTAATTTACAGAATCAACGCTATCCCCATCAAGCTACCATTGACTTTCTTCACGGAACTGGAAAAACCCACAATGAACTTCATATGGAACCAAAAGAGAGCCCGCATAGCCAAGTAAATTCTAAGCAAAAAGAACACAGCGGGAGGCATCACACTACCGGACTTCAAACTATACTACAAGGCTACAGTAATCAAAACAGCATGGTACTGGTACCAAAACAGAGATATAGACCAATGGAACAGAACAGAGGCATCGGAGGCAACACAACATATCTACAACCATACAATCTTTGATAAACCTGACAGAAACAAGCAATGGGAAAGGATTCCCTGTTTAATAAATGGTGTTGGGAAAACTGGCTAGCCATGTGCAGAAAGCAGAAACTGGACCCCTTCCTGACACCTTACACTAAAATTAACTCCAGATGGATTAAAGACTTAAACATAAGACCTGGCACCATAAAAACCCTAGAAGAAATCTAGGCAAAACCATCCAGGAAATAGGAGTAAGCAAAAACTTCATGACCAAAACACCAAAAGCATTGGCAGCAAAAGCCAAAATAGAAAAATGGGACCTAATCAAACTCCACAGCTTCTCACGGCAAAAGAACAGTCACTAGAGTGAATCGGCAACCAACAGAATGGGAAAACTTTTTTTTTTTTTATTACATTTTAGGTTTTGGGGTACATGTGCAGAACATGCAAGACAGTTGCATAGGTACACACATGGCAGTGTGCTTTGCTTGCTTTCTCCTTTTCACCCACATTTGGCATTTTTCCCCAGGCTATCCCTCCCTACTTCCCCCTCCCACTGGCCCTCCCCTTTTCCCCCAATAGACCCCAGTGTTTAGTACTCCCCTCTGTGTCCATGTGTTCTCAATTTCATCACCCGCCTATGAGTGAGAATATGCGGTGTTTCATTTCTGTTCTTGTGTCAGTTTGCTGAGAATGATGT